CCGTCGGAAGACAAATATCAAGGATGAGTCGATGCCAGGCCAGAGGATTTCCAATGAAAATGATATTTCACCCACACAAAATTTTCGTGATTCTGAGGCGTCCGGTAATTCTTAGTTACTTCAGTGTTTTATCACCACACACAAGTTAAAGAATCTGAATTTCGCACGCTTTCCAAGAGATATTTCATCTTTCAAGTAAGACCCCGAATCGGAAGGGATGTGAGGTACACGGCGCATCCGAGAAAGGGTCTAGTTGTTGCGCGCGCTTCAACTACGGCTCCTTGGACAAACAACCTCAATTCAGGAACAATCGAGAGAATTCTGAAAGTGTCCGTGCGCATTTACAGGGAGGTGTACACCATTCAACATTGCGTTAACGGACTCTTCAGGGTTAAATTTATAAACATGTAACCTTTAAAGTTGAGAAACGCTAATCAATCACTTTTCTTAGAAAGAGAAAAGCAGTGATTTCAAATCTGCTCTTACTTTAGTACATAATCGCCCTTAAAAGGATATACAGCCGTTGAAATAGTGCCAATGTAGCGAAAAAGTACCTTTCGGCGGTACTCGTGCAAAAATCCTCAACGTAGCCGTTTTTTTAATACTGGACGTTTGGAGCAGTTCTAGTAAGCATTTGATAGAGCAAATCTTCTAGTTTATGATGGCGTATTTACTTTTCGGATTGGATGAGTTTGAACGGAGTTATGGCTTTAGGAAGTAAAAAAACTCGCACTCATCACAAATTTTCCTCGTTAATTTTGCGAAAATCCTCAACGTGGGCATTTTTCGAATACTGGACGTATAGAGCTGCTTTAGCAATGGTTTGGTAGAGAAAATCTTCTAGTTTTGTCTGCCATATTAACTTTTCGAATTTGACGAAAATGAAGCAAGTTTGTTGCTTCGGAAAGTGTAAAAACTCGTGCTCATCTCGAATTTTCCTCGTTAATTGACCTAAATTTGTTATTTCTTATAACTTTTTGTAATTTCAATACTGATTAGAAAAAGCTCTTCACAAAAACTTCCAAATCTGCTTTCAGATTGAAAATTCGTCATATTTGAAGAAAGTTATAATCATTTGAATATTTGTTCAAATTTCAATAGTAAATAAGCTGCTCCACGGTCAACGCCAAAGTCCAGTCAACACACAGCTGGCGAAGGCGGTTAAAAAGCTTCTTTCAACTGAAGGGCTACGTGCAAATTGAGAACCACAATCTGTGTAGTACTAGAATTTGGTAAGTCTTGTGGAGGAAAATAATAAAGAACAGATGTCATGGTATGCCATTTTTAGTGGCTAGATTTGTCGTTTTCTGGTTCTTCTGCGTTTCTGGTTGGTAAGGACTATCATCAAAATTGATTAATTCTTGGCTCTTTCTTCAGTTTTGGTATTCTTAAACGAATTTTTTTTGTGGGCGGTGGGGTAGCAGGGCTTTTTTATGAGCAGTTTTGGGGGAGAATTAAACAAGCTTTTCAACCTTTTCATAGTTCGGCTTTTGAAGAGGGTTGTTTCATGGACTTCGGCCTCCGGCGGAGGGTGGTGGGGGGGTCGTATTTCCAAATTTTCCTCAACGCCTCGCTTGACCCTGCTCCACGTGACGCCCATTAGAGCCCCCTCGACCGCTCGCAGTGGTACGCACTTCCACCCCGTACGGGGCTTTGAAATGAACTTAATCCTCCCATAAAACTGGCTTCACATGGAGCGCAACCTCGAAACAGATAGAATAACCATAATCAAGTCTCCATCCAAAAGATAACTAAACCAAAACGCCACTCTCAATGCACAATGCTCCCTCCCTCGCAAATGGCTGAACCACTAGCGATGTTCCCATTATGAGTAAAAGGTCACATTTTGGAAAATCCTAAAATCTCAGTTAACTGACAATATTCGGAGGTAAGCAAACCAGCCCTTTTGGTGTCTTCGGCCTGGACCGGTATCGAATTTGGGTAGGGACTGGGGACATCACGCGACGGTTACTTGCAATCCGTTATAGATATAGTGAGTACGACTCAAGTGTGACTGTCCAGCAAGTCTTCGCCAGGAAGTCTGTTGCTCAACACCCTAGACTGAACCTAGAGAGGCACGGACCCGTCCTCCCCTCAAGGCTTCATTCTGAAGGTAAGTACCACTTGCCAAAATGTGTCGTCAAGGACATGACCGTAAGTGGCGGGCCGTCTACCCGCAGGGAAGCCCTCCATCCTCCCCCAACATTTCACAACACGTCCCAGCCGAAGCCCAACAAGTGCTGGTTCTACGTTCCAATATCGGCAGAGTCCACACAAAGACAGAAGGATCTGACTTCACTCTAGATCGACACCTTGGAAAGAAGAGCGTTTCCGGCAAAATGTTCTCTCGCGAATAAAATTATGTCCGCTTTCACTACACCTTCCACATTTGTCCGCATCCTAGGTAACCAAGCAACCCCTTGTCAAACTTGAGTCACGCCTCCCAAAAGAAAAACACCTGCCAATCCAGAAACCATTCTGCGCCCGAGATAGTTTCCTCCTTACCGTTCAAAGCGCACCGGGTTATATCGAATTTTTTCAACCCGAACCAGTAACATTTGCTAGCGTATGGCGGAACCATGAGCAGTGACAACCTTTTCTTCGGGAATTCCGGTCAGAAATTCCAAAGAGTCTATGTTCTTGAAAAGTAAAGAGCTACAGTCAAACAGACTTTAGTAAAAGAACGATAACTGCAACAGTGAATGCGAGCTGGACCATACCATGTAAAAAACAAAATTGTAGAGAAAGTTTACTGTGAACCACCTCCGCAGAATTCCCTTCTTTTCCAGCAGTCGCACGAAATAATGACAAGGAGTTGGCTAAAACGTCGTAAAATGCGGAAAACCGATTTTGAAAGATTCTCAACAATAACCTTGAGATTTTCGGGGAAAAGCTCCTTGGACATAACGCATAGAACGGCTCAGGATTCTCGTGGAAGAAGGAAATATCGAAAACTGCTTGTGGATCGGGAAGGTTGTACTTTTGCAGATTATTGTATAGACCACTTCCTGAAAGCAGAATATTCGGATTTATTCGCGTACTAATTGCAACATAATATTCGTCGGGAACACTAACGGTATTATAAGACCCAAAAACATATGGACTACACCGAACTCCCTAAAGTCAGGGATCCCCCGACTGGAAGATTTCCAAGCGCCAGTCCATTAACACAATCACTTGCTAGGTATTTTCCCTCTTTATCAACACATTCCTTCCAAATAAGACGATTGCTGATTTCATTTTCGTTACGCCAAATGTCCCTCTGAAACACTGAAATCACTGAACGTTCACCGGCAAGCAAGTGCATCCAAAGCCAAGGTAAGTGCACCGTAGGCGCTGCGGATCGTAAAGCGATCTAGAAACAGTTCCCTTGCTTTTAAATATTCTTTAATTCATAAGTAATGGAACCAAGACAGAGATGAGGCAATAAGTCAGTTTTTCATCGACTTCAAACATGAATTCTGTTATAACATATGATCAACTTTGATATTCGTCCTCGTTGTATTTGCTATACAATAAATCTTTCACGAATGAGCTCATGTACTTCTCTTGGCTAGGTGCAACCAATACACTTTGATATTGCTAATGCCAATAACTCGTATTAATAATTATCGACCCCGTACTTTCAAGTAACACCCAATCGGAAAATCCAATTGCACATAAAAGATCATTCTAGTCAGATCTAAAATTATCAATGAAATCCAACAAGTGGACAAACTAGGCAACTTCAACTGACGTAAAGTAGTGACATTGGAAACTAAGTAAACAAAACAACTAACAAGAACTTATTTCTAGAGCATCCTAGTGGGCATAGCCTTTGCCTTTCCGCCACCCAGTTGGCAATGATACAGTATTTTGTGTCTTCTTGTATGTCCTAGAAACACGGCATGCAGACCGCAGTGGGCACGGGGTGTGGTTCACTAGGACAGAAAGCGGCTTTTTCGCGTTTCGCAGCGCGAAACATTTTCCGCTGCGGGAACCTCAGGTCCACCGCTGATCATCAGTGGACCCGAGGTTCCCGCAGCGAATCATCAGTGGACCCGAGATTCCTGCAATATTTCGCGCTGCGAAAAACCCGCTTTTCTGTCCTTGTGAACCTTACCCGTGGGCACGCAGCAAGGTTATCCATCCCTGTGAAGGAGACCAGTTTTGTATTAAGTTAGAACATAATGTCGTACCGTTTGCTTTTTCGAGCGTGAGAATTCATGTATTTATTACGCGCAAAAACTGTATATCATTCAAAAAAAACTTCTGCTCTACAATATATTGTTTGCCGCTCTCTTTAATATTATAACTATTGGACCTTACTTGGACACTTGCAAACTTGTGTAGGCGGACAAGGTAAAGAAGCTCTGGTTTATGCAGAGGGAAGGGGGTAGGCAAAACCCCTTCAAGTTCAACGGAATCAGCCACACTTAGCAAAACTCAAACCGACTAATCCCAACTGTAAGCTGAAGAGCACACTCCATCTATCGAAAAACTCTACGATAGCCTTCTACCATGACATCAGAACAAGAAGATTTCGTTTTGGGAACGTGGTGCGCGATGCGAGATCGACGAGGTCGGCGAAGGATTGCGGACCATTACCACCTTACCTGAAACACTGGTCAAAAGCGGTTTGCATAGTCACAGCTAGTGTCTCTGGAAGCTATTCACCAGTTAACCGATTGAAGAAATTATGTAGCAGCTTCAGGCTGGAGCGATTATGGTAGGCCTCGTTGAGCTTGGACGGTGATGACAGATGACCTCATATTCTGAAAACGGCGAGGGCGGGCCTGCTGAGGTGCTGCTTATGGAAACATGAAACAAGTGGAATCATGAGCAGTCGTCATTCAGCCATCACTATCAAGCAGAAGTGGCGGCGAGAACACTTTGCAGTATTGATCGGGCACTTGTGATTTCCGTGACCCGTCGCGTGAATCGCGTGAATCGCGCAAATCGCTAAAATCACGAAAATCAGCGAAATCTGCGCACCAGCCTAACAGAGGCACCCCGCGCGACGAAAACTTGGTGATGCGTTCCATGCGCGAAATGGCTTTTTTTGCCCCCCCCCCCCTATATAATATGATCGTATGATTCGGCAGGTGCTTTTTTCTGCCTCAAGTATAATCTCATTCATAACGCAAATATTGGGTTGTCTCATAATTCCTGTCGCAATTTCGACACTTTTGTTTATTCCAAGTTTTATCTCTTCTAGGAAACAACTGATCAATAGCATAACCACCATCATGGTCACTGATATGCGTGCATTTGCTAGTGAGCGTTTGGAAGCTTCCAGCCCAGAATGAAGGAAGCTGGGGGTTGAAGAATTTGGAGAAGTCGTTTTTGGGGTGGTCGCAATCTTTAACTTTCTTCTCTGGCAGATGCTCCGACAGAGCGATGCCAATGCTATATGGTGGATGAGGTATCGTGGCCCTGGCTATCTCCCTCAGAACGTGGTGAGTTGGCATTGCAATGTGAGGTCTGGCGTACATTCGGAGAAAGGAGAATCTGAGACGTTTCTGACGATTCCCTCGCAACCCCGAAGCCAGCCTAGAGGGCTATTCCGCGCTGACTTTAGCAATGCTTGTCTTCATACATTGAAGTGGTTCCCAAACCAGGCCACCTAGCGAATCCAACAAAACGAGAGCGATATTCTCAGAAAACGGAGTTCGGGCTTTGGTTGAGCTGGTGCTTCCTGGCTGCGAGGCAGCCATCAGACGTGCCGCATGTTGTTGTCGCAGTGGACTCATGACTCATTTCCACTGGTGACCGATTAGGGAAGGCTCTGCTTTTGCCGTCCCAGAATGGATTTTTCCCAGATGGTCAGGCGTGCTTCCGCTCATGGTCGGCCGGACCATAAGGTTTCCATCAAAACTTCATTCTGCAGCAGTCCTTGCCATACTGATGGCGTGTGCTGGTGCATCGGCTGCGCTCAGGTATCTGCTACAATACCCTGGTAGCAACGTGCGGAGGCACTCCCAATTTAGGGTGCAAGGGGCGCTCATCAAAAATGACCGCAGGCCCAGTATGAGGTTGAAGTTCATAGCTCGTTTCGTCTTTGCCGTTGCGATTGGACCACTAGCTCAGTACCCTATCAGTAGGCAGAGACTGGGTCAAACACAGCGCTGGTCTTCTCTGTTGTCCTCCTTGCTACAGAGTTCATTTGAGGATCGTAAAGCATACCTCGAAGCATACTTCAACATACTAACGTATTTCGCAATGAAACGGTCTAGGCGGAAGAAATTATGAGACAACCCCAATACAACGCGGATACGTTCGGATCATGAAGATATGTAGCTGATCCTGCGCGAACTAAAGCCATTAACACAGAACACAGGAAAAGGCTTGACTTTATCATTAGTTGTCGCAAGTATTACTCGGGCAGCGAACAACAAAGCATACCTGAGCCTGATTTCACTGCATTGCTCACAGTGCTTGTAACCGTTACTGGGGCGTTTTCGAAGGCTCGACAAAGCGGGCTGTAGAGGTCCTGCTTCGGGGGCGCCTTTTCTTCATCGGATTTCTCCTCCTCCTGCCCGTCTTTACTAGTTCCTGCCCGACGGTTTCGAGCATTTGCATCTTCTGACATGCTGTAATGTAAGTGGAAAAACTGTAGAAAGTCGAACAATTTTATTCTATATTATCGAATTAGTTAGGGTATCACTGTCTCACAGTCAACGTAAAATCTCCGCCATCGAAAATGTCTTGCCTGCATTACATGGAAACGCTCAGTTGTTGGGCAATAATCTTGACTACGAAATAGCCAACAAACGTAAGCCAGGCCAAGATCAACTGTTCTGCAACCGTTTGCGTGATAACCACGCATTGTGGGTATCTACCGCAAGGACTGCAGACTAAGTACACGTTTGTTAGTAGGCAACATTACATGCTAATGCCTAATGAGAAAAGTAAAGACACATTGAAATCTCGATCGGAAAAAGATGTGGAAATATAAAAGCAGTGAGACCTAGCAGTACTTCTAATTCTGTAATATAAGCATCGTTCATGGTGTGAGATCCCTTTGCAACCCACAGAATTTAATTACCGCTTATAGGCGATTCAGCGAATAGGCGGACGCCACCGCTGAGACGCAGGCCCAAGCTCTATTTAATCGGATTTATCGTTGAAGCCAACTTGACGCAATCACATCACTTCTCTATTACTCGAACGCCATCGCCAACGCCCTTCTGGATGTGGACACGCCTCCTCACCGAGCCGATGGGCTCTTCGGTGCATACGAAAAATTCGTGAGTCAGGATAAGCAACCCACCTATAGTCGTCTCACCCCCCCCCCCACCCCTCTTCTAACAGGGTCAATCCGCTGTAATTTACCGAAGGGGTATTAATTGGGTTTTTTGGAGGAGGTGCTATCTCTGGATTTTGTATAGCGAAGCTGTAGCAAGAGATCGTATCTAAGATTTTCATATTCAGAGAGGATGTGGTCGGAAGTTGCGCGGTCACTGTGGTGGAGTGATGGAGAAAGTCGTTTTGACGTTTTTTTTTTCAAATTTTGGCAAAGATTTTACAGAGAAAAAAAAAACGATGAAACAGTCAAAATTAGAGGATTTAAAGTGTCTTCATTTACTGCCCACCCCTCTCCTACCGTCCCCTGATGGCAAATTTTCGGAGAATGTTGGAGCGTGCTATACTCCGAGCAAAGCGTTATCTACAGAAATACCCTTGGTGGTGAACGGAGGAGTGGCGAGCAGGGGCAACCGCCCGTAAGTCAAATTCCAAAAATTTGACAAGACCCCCCCTTCTTATTGGAGCTTCGACCGCTCGTCACCATCACCAGCCTTAGGGGAGCACTCCGATACGACCCCCTGATCCACTCCGACCACCATCCTCGCCATCATGGCTGCTTCTATAATATTTGATTCTCGACCACTCGACACAGCCCAACTCTGCCCAATTTCCCTATGGCGTGGACGTCCAGCGGGGAGGGGAGAACCGCGCAATGCACGGCTGACTCCGGTGGGTCATGTTGTGGATAACTCCCTTCATGTGTGGTGCTAGGGGTGTGTCGAAAGCACCATTAGCTGTAGACGTGCTCAAATTTTTTTCTGATGTTTCTATTGATCCTTCCACAAAGAAAACCTACACGCAGGTGAGGCAGTATTTTCTACATAACAGCAAAAAATAGGAAGGAATAGGTTCAAGATGACACATTCGAATGCGAAAGACACAAAAAAAACGAAAAAATAAATGAAATAGATGATTGACAAACCAACCAAAACACAATACTGGGAGAACAAGAATTTTAAAAAAAGGAATGCCGGGTACATTAAAGTTGCGCGCAAAATCTCCACTGTTTTACACGTGTGCATCGTTCTGACGACCTCATAAATTTACAGAGGTGGCCAAAAAAGAGACACTTTGCCCATGGCGCATATCATCAAGCTCTCCATCGCACAGTGTCCTGTTAATGGAAGTT